GGATTCTCTCAATCTTTTGAGTCCTGACTTCTTCTTTAATTTCTCCTTCCTTTACTGGGCGCACATATGCAACAAAGACTTGGTCATACAAATTATATTTCTTAATATGGCGAGCGAACGCTGGGGCACTCATACAACAGTGAGCTAGGCTGCTTTCCTTACCAGATTCATGAAAGAGTCGGATTTTCTTTTTACCTCCTTGCGGACTTGGAAACCAATATTCATGTTCCCTTAACTTTAGATCCGCATGCGCAGCCTCGCCCCAATCCATGCCTAATAACACTCAAAGGGCAAGTTATCCTCCACCAAGAAGGTCAGAGAGTGGAGAACACGTTCCACCTTCCCCTCTGCCTCCAGCCGAAAGTATACTTGTACCCCTTCGACGTAGCGATCCATAACGGTTTCACTACTATTTGCTAACGTACTTACAATGGGCTCACTTAACTTCCTAACCTTAAGCCCAAGACGTAGTTTTTGTAACCCTCTTTTACTAATATAACTGCGTGTAGACCCGCTGTTTATCATACCTCCTACTCTTGTTCGGTTTACTTCAAGATCTGCAATTATTAGCTGTCCTTTCTTTTTTCGCATTTTAGTCCAGGCTTGGCGACGAGCGGCCAACTCATCACCCATGCCAGCGAGGGATCCATCTAGAAAGATGCATACGTTTGCCACCTCTGGACAGTGTACTAGATGGGGACTTCCTTCCTCTTCAGTTTCTGCCAGTGGAGCCTTTGACTGAGAGGATTCTGATTTTTCAACAGTCGAAGCTCCGGTAGAGGCAACTGACACCTCTACTGGCTGTTCCCTTTTGCCCCCCTATAATTCGGGCTATAGGGGACAATGTGGTCGGGGTCCCCACATTTGAGGCATTGATCTGCCTTATTTCTTTTGGCCCAAACTTTCTCTGTGATTCCCAATTCTTTCCAAGGTTCTCCTTCCGGCAAGCCTGGATGAGGTGGGTATGGCTTATCTCACTTGTTGTACCATGAGCCTCTTCCTCTACCCCAGGTGGAGTAAGAATCACGGTCACCGTATGAGGGACCATTTCCCCTTCCTCCCACGTAGTGGCTTCCTTCACCACCACCCCTCTGGGTGCCGAATCCTCGTCCACCACGGCCGCGACCTCTTCCTCGGCCACGCCCTCTTCCTTGACGCCTTCCCCCGCGGGCTGAAACAGCCGCGTAACTCCCCTCCTGAGCTACCGGTCTGTTGGGTTCATCGAGACCGTAATCTATTTGGTCCCAAGAAAGTGATTCGATACCTCCTTCTTCAAAGGTCAGAAGRAGGTTGTCTTTCCCAGGTATTGATCCTGAGATGGTGCGGTTTTACCATCTTTTGCCCGCTTGCAGATCTTTCCAATAGTGGCAATAGTTGGCTTCACCCAGAAATCCTGCATGATCTAATGCAATCTTACTAAATTTTTCATAGGTCATCCCCTCCTCTTTAGTGCGGGGATATAACYGAGTTCGGACGGGATCAGGTAAGGCGCGAGCAAAACTGTTCAAAATCTGAGTCGGGGTTARCCCATGCTCGGTGCACTGTAACAACTCATCCATGGTAGCTTTTAGTGCCGACGTGCTTTTCCACTTCCTGTCAGGAAGGTTCAAAATTAACATTTCTGTTCTTCGGGCGAGATTTTTATCTTCGAACCTCTCCCTGACGGCTTTGAGAAAGTCTTCAATACGGGTTTGGTGGGAAAACTCTACCATTGAACTACATCCTGCTTCTTTTTGTAACGAGATTGCAAAACTCATTGTGTCATCGGTCATACACGAAGTGGCCATCAACACCCTATCCCAATAAGGAATCCGTTGTCCGTAGACATAGGACTCTACAGCCGCCATCCAATGCAACATGCTTTCTTCCTTTTTGTCGGTGTACATCCATGAAATTTTAACTTTAATTTTGTTGCTGGTCCCTGCTCCTTCTTCTCGCTGTCTTCCCTTTCCTTTCTTATCTCAATCGCCTCCATTACCGTCTCCGTCACCACCTCCTCCTCCGCCGCTACCCTGCACTATTCTCTCTATCACGGCTGGAGTGAAGGTTCGAGTGAGATGATCATCCAGTTTGTTGATATAGGACTGAATGTGCAGATCTACGTCCTTGGCGGACTTCTGCAAAAAAGTGTTCCATACATTTTCAAATTCCAGTTGATTCGTTTCAACTTTCTGCAAGGTCCTATTGATTGCAGCAACTTCCTGTTTCGTATGGAGAACTGTTTCAGTTAGGAGGGCGAGTTTTTCTTCAGTAGCCGCTTGCTTTTCCCTTTATGCCTGTAGCTCGCTATGTAACCTCACCCCCTCTGCTTGTAACTTCTTTCTATCATCAAGCTCTTTGCGTTTTGTCGCTAGCATCTTGCTATGTAGTTCAGTGCGTTTTTCTTCCAGCATCAGTTCTCTCTCCCTTTGATCTGTTACTAGTGCTAGCCTTGCTATGAATGTGTCTCGTTCTTCTTCTGTTTCTTCTAACTTGTTACTGGAATAAGAATACTGGTYATACCAGTCCAATGGCTTGATAAATACTTCTCCCCGGATCTCACTTGTCTCCCGACTTTCTGCACGCCGCCTGATAAGTCTCTCTCCCCCTTCCTCCGAGGCTTCTTCTTCTTCCTCAATAGTCTGCAACTCATCCTTTATTTCTTGTTCCCACTTTTCCTTTAACTTCCTCTTCATTTCCTCTTCTTCTAACTGGGCTTTTTTTTTAACTCTTCTTCTTTCTTTCTTCTCTTTGTTTCTTCTTTCCTGCCTGCCGGCGGTCAATCTCTGCCTGCTCAGCAGGTGTGGGCCCTGGCTTCACTGCTCCTGATCGCATCATCATGGGGGATATGCACACACGTCCGAGCCCCAGTGAGAATATGAACCTGAACAGTGGGCCCCACAAGACAGAGATGGCCAACAGGTCCTGAATGGGATAGTCATCCATGACAACTGCCGGCACAGGAGACCCTCCGCCGGATCACCAAGATACTATCCCACTTACAGACTTAGTTTTGACTTGCGGTAATGGAGTACTATACTGCCTCTTTCCCTTTTCGACTGTAGAAGGTGTTGCGTACTATCAACAATAGCTCAACCTGAAAT